GTGTGTGTGTATTTAAGGTTCTCATGATCTAATGGCTAATGCCTTTAATTTTTTTCCCCAGGCTAAAATTATTCTATGCCCAGTAACTTTGGGCTTCCATTACTCATTGATCTGTAGATTAGATTAAACTCCTCCCCAACCTTTAAAAAAATAAAAAGCATAATTGACATACAATATCCTATTAGTTTCAAGTGTGATTTCACAGTGATTTGGTATTTTTATACATTACAAGTGATCCTCATAAGTCTAGTTACACCTGTTACCACACAAAGTTATTACAATATTATTGACTATATTCTCTATACTGTACATTATATCCCCATGACCTATTTATTTTATGACTGGCAGTTTATACCTCTTAATGCCCTTTACCTATTTTTCCCATCCGCTCAAATCCTTCCTCTTCTGGTAACCAATAGTTTGTTTCCTGAATCTAGGAGTTTGTTTCTGTTTTATTTATTTTTTAGATTCTACATATAAGTGAAATCATATGGTATTTGTTTACCTAACTTATTTCATTTAGCATTATGCTACGTTCATACATGTCACAAATAGCAAGATTTCACTGTTTTTCTATGACTGAGTAAAATTCTGTTATATATCCCATCTTCCTTATCCATTTATCTATCGATGAACATTTAATGATTTTATTTATTTATTTGACAGCGGCACAGAATGAGTAGGATTTTGAGTCAGGGTTTTTTTTTTTCATTTTAAAAGTAATAAGGTAATTTTTTTAAAACTTGGTATTTCTTTTTTTCTTTTTCTTTTTAAAAATTACTTATTTATTTATTTGATAGAGAAAGAGACAGCAGGAGAGGGAATATAAGCAGGGGGAGTGGGAGAAGGAAAAGCAGGCTTCCCACTGAGCAGGGAGCCTGATGTGGGGCTCAATGTGGGAGATGATGTGGGGCTCAATCCCAGGGCCCTGGGATCATGACATAAGCCAAAGGCAGACTCCTAACGAGGGAGCCACCCAGGTGCCCAAAAGTAATAAGGTACTTGTTGAAGACTTTTGAAAATACTTAAAGGTAGACAAAGATAACCATTATTAACATTTGGTATAATTCTTTCTGGTCTTTTAGTATAACATAAATCAGAGAAATTGGGCATACAGTCTTAAACTTAATATTTATTTTATGTTTATATCTATTCTCCATTTAAACATATATTCAAGTATTTTATTAGGTTATTAATAATAGTCTGAGTAAAAATAGTTTCTAATACATGTGCTTGGTTTAATATGGTCCCTATTGTTAGACATTTTGGGTTTACTGGTTTTCACTATTAAAGAAGAAAAATGAATGCTATAATTTGCATAAATTGGATATGAAGCTTTCCTCATATTTAAGATTATTTTCTTCATTTAGATTGCAAGAAGTGAGAAAAAACTGGACAGAGAATGTGAACATTTAAATAGGTTTTGATTCATATTATTGAATTGCTTTCAAGGAGGACTGTAACAATTTATTCTTCCACTGAAATATATAAGAGTGCCCATTTCACCACAGACAGGTGGGATTTCTGTAGGCAGCAATAGGCTTTAAGGGCATTTCAGAAAGATGAAACAGCACAAGTAAAGAAAGAAATAGCTAAGAGCCTATAAACTTAGGGAATGATGAGTAAGTAGTTCACTGTGGCCAGAGTGTAAATATGGGTGCATGAGAACCTAGGGAAAGAAAAGTCTAGAAAGCTATGTTGGAAACTGGATAATGGAGAATCTTGAGTGCCTGGCTAGGAATCTGGACTTCATTATGATGGCAATGGTAAACTATTTAGAATTTTTGACTATGAGTTTACATAATCTACATTTTAAGAAGGGTACTTCCATAGCTAGGTGAGAATAGGATCTGAATTAGAGCAGGAATAGAAAGAAATATAAAATCTGATTCAGAGGCCGAATGGACAGGGCTATGTGGATTGAAGGAGAGAAAGGAGAGTCCAAGATGATACCAAAGCTTTGATAACCTGAAGATGGTGATGCATTACTCAAAATACAGAATTATTCTCCCTTGGGCTTATTCTAAAATACTTTTCAGGGGCAGACAGTGAAAGGGGCATTTAGATGGAAGGAGAGAGAGAATTTGAATTTAGACTTTTTGAGAAAGACAATGGGTGTGTTGTGAGTAGCAGTAGGGTAGGCAGGTGGGAAATTTGAATTTTTAAAAAGATTTCATTTATTTATTTGTGAGAGAGAGTGAGCAAGACAGACATAACACAAGTGGGGAAAAACAGAGGGAAAGAGAGGAACAGATTCCCTGATGAGCACGGAGCCCAGTGCAGGGCTCCATCCCAGGACTCTGGGATCGTGACTCAAGCCAGTGGCAGAAAATTAACCGACTGAGCCACCCAGGTGTCCAGAAATTTGGATTAAAAAAAAAAAAGATTTATTTATTTATTAGAGAGAGAGCACACATACATGGCAGGAGGGGCAGAGGGAGAGAATCTTCAAGCAGACTCCTTGCTGAGCGTGGGGGCAGTGAGGGCAGTTGGGGGCCCGAGGCTCTGATCTCATAATCCATGAGACCACAGCCTGAGCTGAAACCAAGAGTCAGTTGTTTAATCAACTGAGCCAACCAGGCTCCCCAGAAATTTGGATTTTTAAGCAAAGCTGTCAAGTTGGAAGTTGGACATGGAAGTCTGTTGCTTAGTAGAGAGATTGTTTTTAGAGACTATGAATTGGGTATCATCCACATAATGGCAACAGTTGAAACTCAAGTTGCAGATGAGTTTGCTTTAGTATAACTGGAGCAAGAGCATGAGGGACAGGTGGAAGAAAATAAGAAATGAGGCTAAAGCTGATATTGCAAAATGAGTCAGGATAGTGTTACATCGTAGATGCCAAAGAAATAAGTGTAGTACAGAGTTTATAAAGCAGAGAAACTGTTCACATTTCTGTGCCATTACATATCCTTTATAGGTGACTGGGCCATTTATTTTCCTCCTCTAGAACATGAGCAATTCCACTCATCTGAAAACTTAATACAAGGAAGTAGTGCCTTCTCTGTGAAACTTTTAGGCAGTTAGGCATCTCCTCATCTATGGCCCATAGCCATTGAGACATATATCATTATACCATGATGTTTTGTATTTTATTGTTTTAAAAATATATCTAATTCCCCACTGGACTCTTATGTGAGCTCTTTTGGGACAGGATGATTTCTCGTTTATTTTCGTATTTCCAGGGCCTAGATAACGCCCATCGCATTGTAGATCCTTAATAAATGTTCATTGAATGAGTAACTGTTAAGAAGGGGTTTGGATTTAAACACTAAAAGATATAAATGGTCTTCCAGAGGAGCAGTTTCAATAGAGAAGGGAAGTTAAAAAAAAAAAAAAATAGAGAAGTTAGAATATACGTTGTAGGAAGTCAACAAGAAAAAAGATATAAGTGAAAATATTGCTTCATATCCCTGGTAGAGGCCCAAGCTGATCAGTGCTGTGAATAGGTTACAAGTGAACAAAGATGTTGTTTCCCCCAACTACTTCCCAATAAGCCATACAAATACTACCATCTTCTATGTGTGCCATGTATTGTATTAGAGATACAAGAACAATACAGATCTTTACCCCAAAGGTGCATCCCGAATACAATATAAATATAATGCATAAAGTACTCCAGTATGCATAAGACATTTTTGGAGCATAGAAAGAAGACATTTTACCCAGCTCAAGGATTTAGAGGGAAATTTCTGTTATAGAGAATGCCTTAGCTGGTTTGAAGGAAAAGGAGAAATAAACCAAGTGAGGAGAAAGAATGTTCCTGGCAGAGGGAACAGCATAACCAAGGTATGAAGATATTAAAGATAAATGCTATGTATGGGAACTCTGTGCATAGTTAAATGTAACTGGAATAAAAAGTGGGAGACATGTGCCAGCAATTGAGCCTGGTCAGACAGGCAGAGACCACAACCATAGATGACTTGTCTTCCCCACTGGGAAACATGTTTTTTAAAGATTTTATTTATTCATTTGACAGAGAGATAGAGATAGAGAGAGCACAAGTAGGCAGAGCAGCAGGCAGAGGCAAAGGGAGAAACAGGCCACTCGGTGAACAGGGAGCTGGATGCAGGGCTTGATCCCACTATCCTGGGATCATGACCAGAGCTGAAGGCAGCAGCTTAACCAACTGAGCCACCCAGATGCCCCCAATGGGGAACATTTATACCAAAGGGTACTCTGTAGAATAGTTATAACCCCAGTTTGTCATATTTGAGACACACCAGTCTGGAAGCAGCACAAAAGATGGATTAGAGAGTAAAGAAGACAACTTTGAAGGCTACAGGAATAGTTCAGGCAAAAGATGTCTGAAGCAAAGCAATAATGGAAGAAATGGAGAGGGGACAGAGGCAAGGACAAATATGTGGGAAATTAGATTGACTTGATGCTTGATTAGATCTTGAGGAGCCTACAATAAATCCATAGTATCTTGTTGGGTGACTGTGTTGTGTGTGGTTGCCATTTAGTGAGTTAGGAAGTTCTGGAGAGGACAATATGGTAGAGAGGATACTGAATTCCTTGGACATATTGAGTTTGGAGAAACTAAGATACATGGAAGTGGGTATGTCCAGATAAATAAGTCCATATTTCAGGGCAGAGGATAGAGCTAGGGCTTGAGTTTTGGAAACTATCAGCATATAGGTTATAGCTAAAATCATAAGAAAAATGTAGGCTAAGAGGAGTAATGAGCAAAGGATGGAGCCCTGGAGGAAAGACCAACATTTGGGGGCTAAGCAGAGGAATAGATATTTATAAAGGAGACTGAGAAGGAATGATCAGAGAAGTATTGTAGAAGATAAATCATGAAAACTGCTGAAGCCAGAACAGGAAGTGAAGAAATGGGAGCACTGAGTAATTAATTTTGAATGTCACTTTATAAGAAGCTATAAATGTTTATCATTGTTGTTATTATCATTATCATAATCACGGGAAAGCACTGGTTGAAGCTCCATCAAATTCCTTATTTTAATTAAATATACACTTAAGTGCAAATATATTACCTGTTTTTCACGAGCCAGTAGTCTCTTCCATTAAGGTTACCATAGCCAACCACTAATACACCATGATTCACATTCTGAGTACAGGATGGGTCGTAGTAGACACCTGAGAATAAAATGTGGGTGGAGAAAAAGAGTGAACCATATGTGGCAATGAAGCACATTTGAAAATGCTATTGCTTTTAGTAGACTGTTTTACATACATAGGAAGCAAGTTGAATTATAGTTTTAGGAACATATACTCTCATCAAACTAATCAGAGTTAATAATTCTTTGCCATCAATGCTGCATTTGTCAGTTTTCTTGCCAACTTTGGCATCAATCCAATCACAGTTCCCTTGGAAATCTTTGATAAACAGCTACCTTTTTCTAATTTTTTTTTTAAAGATTTTAGAATTTATTTGAGAGAGAGAGACCACAAGTGAGTATGAGCAGAGAGAGGGACAGAGAGAGAGAGAGAGAATCCCATGCAGACTCTGCACTGAGTGTAAAACCTGACATGGTTCTCGATCCCACAACCCTGAGATCACGATCTGAGTTGAAATCAACAGTTGGATACTTAACCATCTGAGCCACCCAGGTGCCCCTTTTTCTAAAGATTTTTAACTTATATCGTGTCAGTTACTGTATTTCTTTTTATATATTCCTAAATTGTTTATTCCATATATTTTTATCCTTTACGATATGAAATGATCTTTGGGTGAGTTTGTTTGCTTGTTTGTTTGTTTTAAATAAAACAGTAGTCATTTGGTTTAACACAATGTTCTAACATTGGCTGGTGCTCTCCTTATATTCCGCAGTGCTGTACCAACAGTGCACAGTGGCTCCAGCGGTTAGGAGCCCAGGCTCTGGAGTCAAAGTAGCATGGTTTCTAATCCTTGCTGACCACTTCCAGACTGTATGACTTTATGCCAATTAATGTGTGACTTGTTCATCTGTGAAATAGGGCTATTGTGAGGATTAAATAAGATAATTCATGGAAAGAATTTATCATAGTACTCAGCATGAAGTATTATAAATTTTGATGAGTATTACTTAACTAATTAGAACTGGATATAAAAAATATATATGAAAAAGGGCCGCCTGGGTGGCTCAGTGGGTTAAGCCTCTGCCTTCAGCTCATGTCATGGTCTCAGGGTCCTGGGATCAAGCCCCACATCCGGCTCTCTGCACAGCAGGAAGCCTGCTTCCCCTTCTCTCTACCTGCCTCTCTGCCTACTTGTGCTCGCTCTCTCTCTGTGTCAAATAAATAAATAAAATCTTTAAATATATATATATATATATATATATGAAATGGAGGATTATGTTTAACCTGAACACTCGGAGGTGGGGTGATGGGGAAGGATAATATTCTTTCTTATGGTGCAGGGGCAGCATATAACAAGAAGATAGCATATCTGAGTTTTTACCACTTTTATACAGGAAGAAAGAAGAGTGTTTCGCATCAATAGCAACAGACACAGGTCCTTTATTGGCCACAGCTTCTTTCAAGGCATCTTCACTGCCAAAGGGAAGTTCAGTATACTTTGAACATGTAGCAGCTCGATGTTTTGAGTCATACCTGCAGTTTCCATCCTGCAAAAAAAGGTTATAAATCAAATAAATAAGTATCCTTCAGCTTCTTTTATATTACCAACATCCTAAGTCTGGATTTCAAATGTTTTCTTTCCTCATTTAGTCTTTCAAATGTCTAAGGTTCCTTCCTCATTTAAAAGAAGAAAAAGCAAATCTCCCAAAACCTTAACCCTTCCATGTTTCACCAGTTAACAGAGGAAATACATAACTATTATATTGTTTTAAATTGTGAACATCTTTATGCATGCAGAAGTTGCTGGATAATGTCCTTCAGATTCTCAGGTGGATTGGGGAGGTATACTATGTAAAGATCATAAACTCTAACTAGAACTTTAAAATCTTTTTGATGATCTAATGCCTACAAGATGATCTGTAGTTTAAATGATGGTTTACAAAGACCATATAATCTGAAAAACACCTAGAGTGTATATTTTAGTAGGAAAAGAGAGGTTACAAATTCACTTTTGTTGTGCATATACATATGGTTTTTTAAATGCTTAATAGGACAAAGAACTTGAAAGAAATAAACCAAATTAATGGTGGTTAGGGTAGGAGGTTTTAGAGTGGTATTTTCTTTATCTTTTCTAAATTTTCTGTAAAACAGACATATTAATTCATCTAACAAAACATGCAATGAACTTGTGAGGAGGAAGAAGAGAGCATTATTTAGCTTTTTAGTAGGTAGGAGAATGGTGTGACTGATGATCTGAGAATAAGGTTGAGCATGGGAGGCTGTAGGAAAAACAAGTTGAAATACCAGGCAGATGGACAGAAGGAATTCTAAGGCTTACTGAAAATCCATTTTTTTGTGAATTCTACTTGCTTAAAACCAGTGTGCCACTGATGAATTAAGAAGACTACTGAAAAAGAAAGTGAACTCTTAAAAATTTAAGAATTCCTGACCAGGATTTTCATACACTGCTTGGTTGTGGGTTTAGTTCAGTTAGTCAAGGGATAGCATAAGGTCCCAGGGCAGCACAAAAAGTTTGCTTGTGACACACCATGGCTTTGTAAGGATAGGAAACTTCCGAATCGATGCCGTTGTTATCAATGATATACTGGAAAGCCTCTGTCATGAAGCCACCATTGCAGCCTTTATTTCCATATCTTTCAGTTGAGCAATCTACCAGGTTCTGTGCACTCAGAGACACCAGATTTCCTGTTTTCAGCTTCAGCTGTGCTTCCAGGGCCCCCACAGCACTGAATGCCCAACAAGCACCACAAGCACCCTAAAACAGAGACAAGGGCGCAGAGGTAATCATAGAAAGTCAGGAAGGAGGACTTCCATCCCACGAACTGTGTACCTCCCAACGTGTCAGTTCTGTCGGTTGTTACAGGAACAGCTCCCCCCACTACAATTTCTTCATTTCTTAGACATGGACATAAAGACTATATATACTTGATTGTTCTCTGAGGAAGGTCCAATATTAATAGAGATTTGCAAATGGCCAAGCTCAGAGCATAATTGCCATAGTCAAATATATAAAGAAACGGTACCCCCTGAGCCTGCACTAGATCCTAGCTATCTTCACCCTTAAGTAAGGTAGATAGTCATCTACAGTATAGTGATTTTGAGAGGAGCTAAGGATGATTCTCTTGACCTTAAATACCCTTTCTCCTATCAAATAAGGCCTGAAAACATAAGGTAAAATTTTTTCAAACATTTTTAGCTTCATAATTTTTGGATCAAAGATAGTTTACAAGGAAGCATAAACAAACAGAAAACACAAAGCTGCTTTAGTTAAAAAAAAGTCCAGAGCCCTATCATAATTGTTCTTTCTTGCTTCTTCCTTCAGTCTACCTTGCTCTCTACCCAAAGGAAGCAAACTGAATTTGCTTTTGGTTAAAGCAAAATCACTCATTAAAATGCAATCATCCAGGGAAAGGAGCTCATTAGATTATTTATAGTTAAGACCTAAACATGTACTTTATTGGATTGTCCCAAATTTTATTTAATTTCTTTATTTTTTTAAGTAGCCTCCATGCCCAACATGGGGCTTTAACTCATGACCCTGAGATTTAGTGTCCTATGCTCTACTGACTGATCCAGCCAGAAGCCTCCAACTTTTATTTTAGACAAGCTCTAGTAAGAAACCTAAAACCAATTACAAGAAAAATATCCAGGAAGAAAAGAATAAGATATTAGCAGTACCGTTTACTTCTTAATTTTTACTTTTGGGGTGCCTGGGGGGCTCAGTCTGTCAAGCGTCTGCCTTCACCTCAGGTCATGATCCCAGGATCCTGGGATCGAGCCCTGCCTCAGGCACCCTGCTCAGCAGGGAGTCTGCTTCTCCCTCTCCCTCTGTCCCTCCCATACTTGTTTTTTCTCTCAAATAAAAAAATAAATAAAATCTTTAAAAATATATGTTTACTTTCTTCTTTGGTTACCAGCTAGGGCAGCTGCTCAGAACACTCAGCTTCCTCTCCCTTACCCTGACTTCTAAGGTGATACATCTGTTTACCCTTAGTTACCCCTAACTAATTTAGGATTTTTGCTGCCTTTTTTTTTTTTAAGTAGTCTCCATGGCCCGTGTAGAGCCCAACATGAGGCTTGAACTCATGACCCTGAGATCGAGACCTGAGCTGAGCTCAAGAGTCAGATGTTTAACTGACTGAGGCACTCAGGCATCCCTTAAAGTGAACTAAAGGAAATACAAAAACATAGGAACAAATTTATAAAAACCCATACTGTACTTCTTACTGTAACAGTGCCAGCCTAGTCATGAGTGAACTAGACTGGTACAATTTCAGCTCTAGGTTTTTCCTCTCCTTCAACCCTGAAATGGAGGGAGAGATTTCCTGATCGATATTCTCTCTCACACACAATACTGTTTCCCAAGCAATTGGCTTAGTAGAAGATCCAGTGCAGTTGATCAATAGCATGAACACTAGAAATCTGTCTGAAAGAAATATATTTGCTCAGTTCACAGTTTTGTCTAATGGAGTTCTAACCATTGGTATTCTAAGTCTAATAATCAGCTAACATTTACGTAAGTATGGGCGCCTGGGTGGCTCAGTGGGTTAGGCCTCTGCCTTCGGCTCAGGTCATGGTCTCAGGGTCCTGGGATCAGACCCTGCATCGGGCTCTCTGCTTGGTGGGGAGCCTGCTTCCCCCTCTCCCTCTGCCTGCCTCTCTGCCGACTTGTGATCTCTCTCTGTCAAATAAATAAATAAAATATTTAAAAAAAAGATTTACATAAGTATGCTAACTTACTCTAAAAGATTGTGAATAATCTTTAGACAATGCTTTCTATAATTAATTTTAAAAACCAAAAGCAATAGTACCCTGCAAGTTTCAAGTGTTCCTCTAAAAAATTTGTTGAAGAAAGTGGTTACAGTAGGACTAAACAAGAACTAAACCTTGGAGAATACAAATAAAGTATTATATGTGGTCGTTGTCCCCAAGGAGCTTAAAATTTAATTGGGAAGACGAGAATAACAAAAATCATTAGAAATAACATCAGGGAGATTCCACTGCCCAATTATGTAGCTAGACTAAGTATTGACAGAGGAGAAAGCTCTTCCTGGGGTACAGAAGCCTGGGATGACAATACTCACCTGGTATTTCACTTCAGTAACACACCCCTTCTCTCTCCAGTCCACAGAATCAGGCAATTTCTGATTAGAATTTGACTTGTAAGTGACATTTGCCTGCCATTGGCTGGGAACTCTCAGGGAACTCATCAAAGATGACACTTCTTCACTGGTCTGCAAGACAAATATATATATCTCCTTTCACTTATGACCTTCTTTTCAATAGTCTAATAACTGTAACTGTGAACGTATTTAACAATTGAGAAAAAACAGTGGTAGTTGTGACCAACATAGGTACTGCTAACTATCGGATAGGTGAACTATCTGGGTCTCTTTCACACTTTGTCTTAGCACCCATTTAGGCATTGGGAAGAAGAAGAAAGTGGTAAAAACTAAAAGTCACAGGGAGGCAGATTTTTGTTTTAAAGCAAGGCAGAATTTTATTCAAGGGCTGTCTAAAAAGTGGACTGAACTGGGGCGCCTGGGTGGCTCAGTGGGTTAAAGACTCTGCCTTTGGCTCAGGTCATGATCTCAGGGTCCTGGGATTGAGCCCCGCATCAGACTCTCTGTGCAGCGGGGAGCCTGCTTCCCCCTCTCTCTGCCTGCCTCTGCCTGCTTGTGATCTCTGTCTGTCAAATAAACAAAATCTTAAAAAAAAAAAAGGTGGACTGAACTGGTTTTCCTTGTGAGAAAGAATTACAAAGGAGATGCCGCATTTAAGTAGAAATTTAACCTACCCAGTGTATTCTCTTCCAAGAGGTACTACGATTCTTAATTTCGGCCTCAACAGTAAAGTTTTGTAGGCAGAAAAAAATTAAAAAACTAATGGGAGAGTATTTGTGATATTAAATACCCACACTCCCTCATTAAGAAAGCAGGTAGACTATATTGAATTATCAGTCTAGACATACAGAAGTATGGTAACTTACTCTAAAAGATTGTGAGTGATCTTTGGGCAATGCTTTCTAGAATTAATTAAAAAAAAAAAAAAGCAATACTAGCCTGTAAGTCTCAAATATACCTCTAAAAATGTTATTAAGGAAAGTAGTCACAGTAGGATGAAACAAGGAATCTGCAAATTCTTACGTCCTTAAATTCTACTGTCTTCTAACTTTGCATATGTACACACACACACACACACACACACACACACACATTCCTTTGCTGTTTACCTTCAAATTGCCTTTGGGGAGATGGAAATCATACATACACAGAGATGAAAGTAGGATTATTTGTAATTACCATGTCTGCCAGATGGTTCATGCCTAGATCATATGAATGCATTCCCATTGAGTATTCCAGATTGTGAAGCATCACAGACTTTAGATTCTTTTCCCAGATAAGACGCCTTGCTACTTCCTCATTCTAAAATGTAAGGAAAAAGAACATAGTCCCAGCCATTTCTTAAAAGATATTGTAGGTTCATAAAAAAAAAAAAAAAAAAAAAAAAAGATATTGTAGGTTCAGTTCCAGACCACTGCAGTACTGCAGTAAAGCAAATATCACAGTAAAGTGAGTCAAATGAAGTTTTTGGTTTCTCCATGCATATAAAAGTCACATTTACACTATACTATAGTTTATTAAGTATGCAAAAGGATTATATTATTTGAACTTTGAGATAAATTATCAAGGAAGAATACTAATCAAAAGTAATTTTCATTCCTTCCAAGGGACTGGAATCATTAAAAAGAGAGAGAGTATTCATTTAACCAGATAGTGGTGCTAACTGAAAATCTTACTCTAGTTTAAACTTGAAATTAGAGCCTTGTTTCTCAAGGCACTCGGATGAGGGTAAAATTCATCACTACTAAGAAAACAACTCAGTGCACATCCTACTAAAAGTGTCATTTTTATACAAAATAATGTATCAAATAAATTAATACATAATTCTTGCTTACAGAGTCAAAATATACACACACACACATACACACATATATCTTAGAGAGCTTTTTTTAAGATTTTATTTATTTGAGAGAGAGTGAGAGAGAGCACAAGAGCAGGGTGGGGGCAGAGGGAGAAACAGATCCCTGGAAGAGCAGGGAGACCAGTGTGGGGCTCCATCCAGGACCCCAGGATCATGACCTGAGCCAAAGGCAGATGCCCAATGGACTGAGCTACTAGCCCCCCATAAATATATCTATATCTATCTATATCTATATCTATCTATCTAATCTATATATATATATCTTAAAGATTTTATTTTTAAGTAGTCTTCCATACCCAACATGAGACTCTAACCCACAACCCCAAGATCAAGGGTTACATGTTCCACTGACTGAGCCAGGCAGCTGCCCCTCAAATATTTTTTTAAAGTCTCCACGCCCAACATGGAGCTTGAATTCAGGACCCTGAGATTGAGTTATGATTAAGAGTCTCCTGCCTAAGCCAGCCAGGCACACGCAAATTCACAAATATTATATAGATATAGGACTTAGTTATTTGAGGCCCTAGGGTTAAAGTCTTAAAAAAAAAAAAGATACTATTTATTTGACAGAGAATGAGCAGGGGAGAGGGGTAAGGGGGTAGGGAGAAGCAGACTCCCTGTTGAGCAGGGAGTCCAACACGGGGCTCGATCCCAGGACCCCTTCCAGGACCCCAGGATCATGACCTGAGCCAAAGGCAGATGCTTAATTGACTGGGCCACCCAGGTGCCCTGGTTAAAGTCTTAAAAATCAATAAGTATATGGGGCGCCTGGGTGGCTGTTGGTTAAGCGTCTGCCTTTGGCTCAGGTTAGGATCCCAGGGTCCTGGGATGGAAACCCACATCAGGTTCCCTTCTCAGCAGGGAGCCTGCTTCTCCCTTTCCTCTGCCTGCTGCTCCCCTGCTTATGCTCTCTCTCTCTCACTATCTCTCTCTGTGTCAAATAAATAAGCAAAATCTTTTTAAAAAAATCAATAAATATGCATTGAAATAAAAACAAAAGTACATTGTGGGAATTCAAAGTCAAAAAACAACATCTGGTAGTGCTTCTGTGCGCTAGGGACTGAAATAGGTCTTTTTGTTCTCAAACATGTACCCTACCTCCCTTGACCTGGAACCTGCATTCTAGTTACAACTTTGCTTCCTGGCTTCTATGAATTCTCAGCTCACATGTCACCTTCGATAAGGGTACTTCCCTGAGCTTTCTGTTACATATCAAGAAAAATCACTCCCAACCCCTCGCAGCCGTCTCCCAAAGCCCTCCAGCTCTAGGTCTCACTAGATCCCCCACACTTTGTTTTTTTCTACTGCACTTATCACCACCTACCATACTATATTCTGCTTATTTATTTACTTAATTCCTGTCTCCCCTGCTATGATATGAGCTCCACAAAAACAGGAACTTTGCTTTGTTTCCTGCTATATCTCTGGTACCAAGAATAGAATCTGGCAAGAAATTAGTGCGTAAGCATTTACTGAAATCATTGCTTGTACGAATATCATTTTGAGGGGGACAAAGTACAGGATACTCGAGCAAAAGCAAATTGATCAAGTGATGATCCCACCTACCTTTTCCTGGTATTGTCTGCCATAGGTTTTCTTCCAAAGATTCCAGTGATGATCCAGAGTGGGATCATTCTGTACCTGGGCTACTGCATAGGAGCTCGCCAGGAGTCCCCACACCAGCCATTTCCTTTGGTTAAAGGAAAGGTAACAGAAGAAGAATGGTTATTAGCTGCATATATTGTGGCCAAATTTTTACATTAAAAAAATCACACTGTAAAGTCTGTCGAAAGGACAATACAAATCAGAACTAAACAGGAAACTTCCTGGGATTTATTGTCACAGGGAGGTAGTCTGTAGATTTATGACTGGAATACCACTTCTAATACTTAGTAGCATTTTAAAAAGTGATTTTCAGAAATTTCCTGATACCTGGCATACCAAACTTTCATCCAAGGTAGGAGGGATTGAGTAGTGTGAGGAGGCAGGGACTTTACAGGATTTGCCAACAAATCTAACCAAGGGACATCACCCCCTACCATCTTTAAGAGGAGGGAAAGCCTTTGAAAAATCAGTTTAACTTCATAATTTTTGAATACCTGGGCTTTTCTTAACTGGTCTATTTAAATATCCACAACATTTAGAGGTAGTTGAAAGACAACTCCCATGTATTGCTTTCAAAACCTAGAGTCATTTTATTTTTTTTTTAACTAGTTTTTCCAATAATCAAAACAGCTATTTCAAAGGAAGCACTTATGGGGCGCCTGGGTGGCTCTGTGGGTTAAAGCCTCTGCCTTCGACTCAGGTCGTGATCCCAGGATCCTGGGATCGAGCCCTGCATCGGGATCTCTGCTCAGCGGGGAGCCTGCTTCCTCCTCTCTCTCTGCCTGCCTCTCTGCCTACTTGTGATCTCTGTCTGTTAAATAAATAAATAAAATCTTTAAAAAAAGAATAAAAAAAAAAGGAAGCACTTATGTACTTTTGAAAACACCACTTTGTGTTTAAAACAAAGATTTGAACAGTAATTCAGTGACTACCTCCCTCAAACTGGATTCTTCTTCCTTTTCTGTTTCTTTTAAATTCAAAACAGCTTCAAATTATATTCCAAAGAAAGCTACGTTTTAGCCTCAGATTTAGATGTGCAAACAGACATTAACTTTTAGAAAATAGATTCTTTCTAGTCAAAGAAACAAGAGGCAAATTGAGTGGCATAATATTTTTGTTTACTTCCTGGAACCAATGGTTTAAAGCCTGGCAGGCACAGCACACTAAAGGCACAAAACGGAGGGTTTAAAGACTAAAGAGTAGAAAAAGACCAGAGAGTACGTACATGATAGAACTGGCAGGTGCTCCCATAGTAAGCATGCCTGAAGACGAGCCCCCTCCAAAGGTTTGAAGGCAGCAAAGAGACCTCCGTTAAATTGACTTTAAAAAGATACTGGGCTTGTCACATGAGGTACCCACAATGAGGAAGTGAACTTTCATTTCAGTTTCATTTAAAATCTAACCACATCAGCTATCTCTGGCCCTCACCCCTATAGTTTTAGAGTTAATGTGGGTATAGTAAGCCATCAAAAACCACCCCCAGGGGAGCCAATCAGTAGAACAAACTCAGTAAAATAGGAGCAGCTCCAGTTTACCTTTTAATCCCTCATCATTTGGATAATTCACTTCAAAACACCAACTTTCAGATGGAAAAATTTAGTTATGAAGACAATAGGATTAAGCTCCTGAAATCCGAGTTTCCTCTAGACTCTCCTACAAATACCTGTAAACTTCTGTGATTACTGTTGTCTCATTCTTACTCAACTATTCCTTGATTCATAATTAAAATATCTTTTTTTTAATTATTTATTGGGCACCTGGGTGGCTCAGTTGTTTGGGTGACTGCCTTCGGCTCAGGTTGTGATCTTGGGGTCCTGGGATTGAGTCCTGCATCTGGCTCCTTGCTCACTGGGGAGCCTGCTTCTCCCTCCTCCATTCCCCCTGGTTGTCTCTATCTCTCTCTTTCTCTCTGACAAACAAAAAAATAGAATCTTTTAAAAATTGAATAACTGGGCACCTGGGTGGCTCGGTGGGTTAAGCCTCTGCCTTCAGCTCGGGTCGTTATCTCAGGGTCCTGGGATCATGTCCCGCATCGGGCTCTCTGCTCAGCGGGGAGCCTGCTTCCTCCTCTCTCTCTCTGACTACTTGTGATCTCTCTCTGTCAAATAAATAAATAAAATCTTTAAAAAAAATTGAATAACTATGTAGATAATTCCTGTACATGGCAATGCAAATGAATTTTGTCTAGTAGATTCTACTGAATAGAGAATGTAAATGGCTGTCACTTCAATTTTTATTTGAACCAGTTTTAATATCTTACTGATCCCATATCAATTGATGACTTGAATAAAATATTGATACATGTTTATTTTATATTTGCACAAGTCATATTCTTAAATTTTTAGAAACTATACTTTAGCAATTAAATCCTGAAATAACTCCACATTAGTATATACATGTTCTCATTTATTTTTTATGGCCATTTAGCATCTTTTGAATAATCTTTTTATGTTTGGAGAATTCCCCACATTATAAATTTTTTTTAGGCTCTAAAACTGTGGAAAATAAATTCTGTTGTTATAAACCACCTACTTTAGGGTATTTTGTTACAGAAACCTGAACAGACTAAGTCATCTATCCTCACATATGAACCTCATACTTAAAGCAACTAGTTTTTTTCATGTTTCTAGAACATCTATGTTTATCATCCTCTGCACTTCATACTCACTTTATTATTATAACAGTCCCCAGCTAACATTTGCTGGATGCCAGTTATATGCCAATGTATGCGCTATACTCTTCATGTAATATTATTCAATCTTCACAATACAATGAATTAGGTACAATTATTGTCCTTGTTTTACCGAGGGGAAATTAAAGTGCTGAGAGGTCATAAAACTGTCTGCTCTCAAGAGGACAGAACTGGTGGCTGACCTTGGAATGAACCCAGTTTTAAAAAGTAGTCCTTTCCCAACTTGATGCAGGGCTCAATCCCGGGACTCCAGGATCCTGCCCTGAGCCAAAGGCAGACAGACCTTAATTGACTGAGCCATCCAGGCACCCCTAGAACAGATTTTTAACTTTCAGCCTCTGTTGCAGTCAAGCTGGTCTTCTGGGCTTCCCACATTGTGTGGTCGTTTGTGTCTTTCTGAAATGGCTCTCTCTATTCCTTGGCCTCTCTGTCTTGCAAGACCTACCTCAAGTACTGCCTTCAAGGGAGCCTTCTCTAACTCACTCATCTTTCTTTTCTATATACTTTCATGACACTTACAAATCATACCACCCAGTTTGAACTTACTCTATACTTATTACATACGGTAGTTTCATCTCCCCAGCTAACTTGAGAATACAGAATCCTATATTACTCATCTTTGTGCTGTTCTGTGGCTTAACACATGTTTAGGCCTTAACTAATCAGTATTTGTTGGATTACTTTTCATAATTACAATCTTCTACATGTTTTGTCTTCATTTCTGATTCATACTCATTTGGCATTGGCTCCTAAGGCTTTTCTTTTCTCTCTTTCTCCTGAGGCTAACAGCCTCAGGTTTCTCTGCTGCTTTTGTTCTCCTGGTATATAAAAGTCTATAAAAAAATATAGTATTTATTTTTTTTTAAGATTTTATTTATTTGTTTGTCAGAGAGAGCACAAGCAAGGGGAGCAGCAGGCAGAGGGAGAAGCAAGCCCGATGCAGGACTCAATCCCAGGACCCTGGGATCATGACCTGAGCTGAAGGCAGCCGCTTAACCAACTGAGCCACCCAGGCATCCCCCCAAAAATACAGTATTTGAATACATTGAGGGAACATGTTATTACATAGTCTACCCCATGTACACTAAATGTCTTTTATAAAATTAAAAATCATCTCGCAACACTCTACAACTGTAAATTGGGTCTTTCTATGGTAGCTTCCTTTGAAATGGGGCACCCTTGCTGTTGCAAATTTATTTAACTACAGATGGCCTGCAACTTAGAATTTTTGAACTTTATGGTGGTGCAGAAGTGATACACGTTCTTTAGAAACCTTACTTCAAATTTCGAATTTCAATCCTTTCCCAGGCCGGTGATATGTGGTATGATACTCCCTAGTTGATGCCGGCCAGCAGCGGGGAGATGCACCTGTGTGTCAGCCACACGGTCACGAGGCTAATAACCAACGCACTTACAACTATTCTGCACCCACACAACCATTTCATTTCTCACTTCCAGTACAGTGTTCATTAGACATCCAACACTTTATTAGAAAACAGGCTTTGTGTTAGATGTTGTTACCCTATTGTAGGCTGATGTGTGCATCCTGAGCATGTTTAAGGTAGGCAAGTCCAAGCTATCATGTCCAGTAGGTTAAGCATATTAAATGCATTTTCAACTATAGTATTTTCAACTCATGATAGGTTTATGTGGATGTTTCCCCATCATGAGTTGAGGAAGACCTGTAGAGAGATTAAAACCAAACAAAAACCAAGGAAATCTGCAGTGGTACGATTCTAAATCTTATCTAAATCTTAGAATGTTACCTCCCTTCTATCGCAGGTGATCATAGATGAAGAAACATCTGAATGATACGGGAAAGGGAAATGAAAGCAGAATAAGGAAGCTTAGTGCCTTCTCCAGGTTTGAAAATCACCCTCTTTTAGCCTCACACACCCTCAAAATTAGCTGCTTCATGTTTCTTTGAGGAACTGTCTTACTAAGGGCTCTGAATTTTAGGATGATATTGATGTTTAATTCAGTGCTCATTTGCCCCCAGGTGATTAACTTTGTGCTGGAAATTTAATAACAGACATTATTTCCATAATTATAATAGCTCACTTATGAGGCGCCTGAGTGGCTCAGTTGGTTAAGTGCCTGCCTTTGGCTCAGGTCATGATCCTAGAGTCCCGGATCGAGCCTCACATTGGGCTCCCTGCTGAGCAGGGAGCCTGTGTCTCCCTCTGTCCCTCGGCCCACTCATGTTCTCTCTCAAGTAAATAAATAAAATCTTAAAAAAAAAAAAATAGCTCACTTATTACTGACCCTTCTGCCCAAGAAATACCAAAAGATGAGATGAATACCTCTAATAGAATATAGGAGACTAGAAAATTAATTACCTTTACATTAAAATTATCCAGTTTACACTTCAAGGAATGAAAACAGGCCTTTCATCTCCTCTCTGTTTGACAGACAGCTGTATCTTTTGGGACGGTGCCAGCTGCATCCCTCCCAGAAACACAATGGTGTAGGTCAGAGTAAACGGATTTGGCTATATTTGGCACCTGGTCACCAGGGCTGCTTTTAACTCTGGCAAAGTGGATATTGTTGCCATTAATGACCCTTTCATTGACCTCACCTACATAGTCTACATGTTCTGGTATGACTCCATTCAATAGCACAGTTAAGGCTGAGAATGGAAAGCCTATCTCCCATCTTCTAAGAGTGAGATCCACCACCATCAAATGGGGGTGATGTTTGTGCTGAGTATTTTGTAGAGTCCAATGGGGTCTGGAGAAGGCTGGGGCTCACCTGAAGGGTGGGGCCAAGAGGTTCATTATCTCTACCCCTCCTGTTAATGCCTCCATGTTTGTGATGGGTGTGAACCATGAAAATTATGACAACTCTCTCAAGATTGTCAGCAGTGCCTCCTGCACCACCAACTGCCTGGCCTCATCACTGGCCAAGGTCATCCATAACAACTCTGGCATTGTGGAGGGACTCGTGACCATAATTCATGCCATCCCTCCCACCCAGAAGACAGTGGAAGGCCCTACTGGAAGCTGTGCCATGATGGCCAAGGCCATCCCTGCTTCTACTGGTGCTGCCAAGGCTATAGGCAAGGTCATCCCTGAGCTAAATGAGAAGCTCACTGGCATGGCCTTCTATGTCCCCACCCATGACATGACAGTCATGGATCTGACCTGCCACCTGCAGAAAGCTGCCAAATACGATGACATCAAGAAGGTGGTGAAACAAGCATTGGAAGGCCCACTCAAGGGCATGGTGGGCTACACTGAGAATGAGGTTGTCTCCTGCAACTTTTAACAGTGACACCCACTCTTCCATCTTTGATGCTGGGGCTGGCATTGCCCTCAATGACCACTTTGCAAGCTCATTTCCTGGTGTGACAATGAATTTGGCTACAGCAACCAGGTGTTAGACCTTATGGTCCATATGGCCTCCAAGGAGCAAGAGCCCCCTGGACCACCAGTCCCAGTGACAGCAAGAGAGAAAGGCCCTTAGCAGATGGGAAGTCCCTGCCCCAACTCAACTCCCAACATGCTGAGAATCTCCTGAACTCTACACAATTTCCATCCCAGAACCCCTGAAGAAGGGGAGGGACTTGGGGAGCCCTACCCTGTCATGTGCAATCAATAAAGTATGCAGTACCCAGCCAATAAATAAGTAAGTAAATAAAGGATTCTTGAATCATTGGGAAAAAT